TAGGAATGAGGCAACTGCATATGCACACAAGAAATACCGTCTCGGTTTGCCCACATCACTAAAATGAACTTGATAAGATTGTTTGCTGAACACAACTTCTTCATAGCTTTACGGCTTACATACCAAGACAAACAATTTCACTTTTTGGTTCCCCTTTCACTCAAGCACTTATTTCTTTGTATCTAGTATGTGTCAAAATTTGCCAACAATTCGAACATCTCTATTTCAGATTTCTGCCTCCACTTCGCCCGATAGCTGGAGTTTTGTCAGTCTGTACTGCTTCGATGGTGTCTACATTGATGCTCTCTTATCGCACTTTGGATTCAATACGTCAGATAGTTGGCGAAGCATAACATTTTCAGCAAAGGTAAGTTAATACTTTTGCTGCAACAGTCTGCACGAATCAGATGTACCTTAAGTGTTGCCTTTTGCCCATGACTGAAGGTAAGCCATATGGAAAAATTTTCCAATGGTTTACGAGTACAATGTGTGTTTACTCGGTATGAGGTGGCCATATTTCTTGTTGTTATTGGACTATCATTTCATTCTAGCTCAATAAACAAGAAATTATTCGGCATCAAATTTTTCTTCCCTCAGGGCAAAAAAAACCTCCTTATCCTGTCGTCTTTAAATAAACAATTTAAAACATTTCGCCAAATGTTAGGTCTTCGTTTCGTAATTAATGGGCCAAAAACTAATTTAAAGTTATTTTAGTGTGTTTCGATGCCAACTATTTTCGGTGTTAATGGTTTTTAGTGGAAGTAGTGTATAAAAGCAGTTAATATGAATCTCAGGCCTGCACTACCATACACAATAGTAGTGCGCTAGCGACTCTAATGTAAATATTTTGCTCAATTTTTGGTCAACGTTGACGATTTTGGGACATTTTTTCGTATTCCGATCTTAAAAATTTAAAGTCATTGTCTGCTTTGGACGTTTCGATGTGAAATTTGACAACCCTTTCATACTTTTCATGAAAACCTTGTGCTTGCAGGAAACGATTACATTTCAGAATATACCCTCACTTAACAGTGAAGGTCAGGGAGGGGAATCAAACTATTTTTTTGCAGAAACAAAGAAACATGCTAGAGCCCACCGCTATGGTATTATTGTAACCTTGGTGTTGGGTTAAAGGAGCGCCGACCTTGTGAATATTATGCATTTAACCCGTGCGCTCTAACGATGAGTGTAAATAGTTTTGCAGAGATTACAATACATGTGATTTCTGGTCTAGGTCAAAAGAGCGAGTGCCTTTGGACAGGTGATTTTATGTGCATCGCGTTGTGATTGGTGGAGAACTGGAATATACACATCAACTCACGCCTAACCTTCACAACAATATAGTACATTACAAATGAGAAGTTGTATGATTATGTGGCCACACCCACGCCATCCGCTATTTGAGCAAAATTGGCAGGGGCGTAAATCGTGCGTGTACCCAAAAATGCATTACGTACCTCAGTGGCTAATTAGCAGCTTCACGGACGGGATTTGATGCTGTATTGTTAGTTGACGCTTTATTCTTCGTCTTTAATTGGCTGTAATATGTGTCGCCCTTCCTTGATCGTTTTGTCGACTGTAACTGTCCTTATCACGCGTTTGTTTGCGCCAGCGGTGATTGTAGTAGTAGTAGATTTAACGATCCAAATGTAGGCTAAGACGTTGCCGATCAAGTTTTTTTGTTAGATTTTCCTGCTCTCTCTCGAGTAAGGTAATAATGAATGCTGTAGAAACCATTGCCCATCACTTCTCTAAGAAGTATTTATGTTGCCCTATAGATAGAATCAATTAAATCTCTTGTTCCTCCTCTTGGAGACATTGCCTTGAGGTTATCCCAGACCTACAGGAGTTAACATATAATTACGTGGTCATGGCTTAATCCTCAAATAATTAAGTGTACTTATCACCGCTTAGCGAGATAATAGTGGAAGACTTACGCATGTCAGGTTCCACTACCTTATAGAGATTCATTTTAATACGTACTTTTAAGGGAAACATCATTTAGCGTTGGGCCTTAGAGACTGTCTAGCTAAGTAATCGTTTTGTTTTGTGAGCTACGTGAATGGACAAGGCCTTTATGTTCCCTTGAAATGACACTGGAGCGCTATCGTTAAAATCTGCCTAAATAGATTGCCCACATGTACCAATTTTATGCGCACACATCCGTGCCTAGCAAATGTCGTTTCCTCACTGTTTGGCTGACAATGGGTTCATATCGGGACCTTCACATTCGTCCCTATTGCCTTTTGGGTAGATGATGCAAGGTCGGATGATTAGGTATCCACAATCTGGTTGGAATTCAAGCAATTACCAATGCTGTACTCCCATCAAATCCGTCAAAATGTTGCATTTAGGATACTAGAGCTCAGAAGGCTCAAACAAAGATGCTGTTGGCATTTTTTCATTAGAAATTTACAAAATAGGCCAGCATCTATTTACCACCAGTTTTGATACTTCTATTGCACTGAATACAATGTTCTACTGTCCATGTGTGATTATTGGAAGGTTCTCTGCATAATGCCAATTACATCATGCTTTGTAACCTCAAAAGAACACCATGAATTTGTCACATTAATCAAACTTGCGACGATTGTAGATTGATGGCATCACCGTCAGTTGGGCACCTGGGTACGCAATTGATGCTACTGGCATGATCGAGAGCACGTCTCCGAAGATTGATCTTGGACTTTTGGCTTTTGCAACCTCCGTTGCAGTTTTGAGTGTAGTGTTTGTTGTGCTTTTGGCGATTGCTATTTTTGTCTTTTTGCGAAAGTGATGATTAAGACCTTACTGCAGCAAATATTTCTGAAAATCACCTCACCTTTCCTCAGACCGACTGATTTATATATCTGAAAATTATGTATTTTTCTTCTATTAAAGAACTCTGCTTTTGGAAACGGCATTTTAGCTTGGAATGTGATTATCGAAATGGTTTCGAGCAAACACATTGGCGAACCGGCATTATATCTATTTGAATGAACGTATTATTGTGACGCTATCAGCAACTGCTTGATATGCCTTAAAAAATCGAACCCGGCAGCCAAGCTAAGAACCCGATTTACCTCGAGCATGGTTCTATTCAAATGTTTAAATATGGTAGTGACTTTTATGTAAAAACTTGGCTGTTAAGACCGACTGGATCTGAAAGTCACTTAGGCATAAGTGGTTTAAATTGTAGGCAAATGAACAGAAGATATTGAGTTGTATGTAAAAAGCCGTGATATTCAAAGGAAATAGAGGCCTATCGGGGAGATGCGAATATCCTATACCACACGTGAAAATAAGCTTCTCAACGTCTTGCTTTTGGTATTGCTTGCACTGCTTCGAAGGTAGCATAAGCGTAAGGCATAGAATTTGGCATCAGTTTTAAAGCTCATCAAGAGATTCAAAACTAAAAAACGGACGTTTTGTTAGTATTCCATGTAACTCACATCCAATCAAATTGATGCCGAGTTATCTGTTGCACTTTTCTGCTACTTAAATGGAATTTTAGCCCTGTTCTTAAGCTCGGTCCATATCTAATGTAGCTTTCCGCATAGCATTTGCAAATGGTTAGGTACCTGAAATGCCACCTGGAAGTGTTTTCAAGAATTTGGTTATGGTGAAGTTTCACTTAAGGTTAGATACACCATGTTCTCTCTCTCATGTATGAAGAACCGAATGTTGTCACTGGTTTGGGTAGTGCAAAATTAAGATGCCAGTAAGATCACGTAGGTAGGGAATTCTTTAAAGTGCTAAAGAAAAGGGATTTTATTCCTATGCATTAACGGGAAATCGACAATAGGCTTTGAAGTTTGGGAAATTGTCCTTAACCACTCTAAATGCGCTATAATACTATTCTGTTATGTTGTTTGCTAATTGACTTGTGATGAAAAATCGCTTTTTATTCTAATTATGAGTAGACGAATGCATCATAGTTTGTCCGTTTTGCGTGCATGAACTTTTGTGATATTCTCCCGTCTCACTTTTCGTAATTCCCGGTATTCCTCCTAATTTTAACAACCACTTTTTAGCACAAGTCAATCATATGCTAGTGAGAGGATTTGGGTCGCTGAGATAGAGGCGGCAATGTCCAAAATTTAAGTTCAAATCTCTTAAATATATCAGTAAATTTAGCAGCTCTAGCAGCATACTACCTTTTAGTCTTGGTTAATGGTGCTATTTTGCTACCAAACACGTGTAACTAAAATACCCTAGTTAAAACCATTGAAAAAGTCAGTTAATGATACTATCTACGTGTTCGGTTTATGTAGCATTTCATCAGCCATATATGTTTCGTCGAACCGAGTTGTCTCCCTGCTATGGCCATATTGGGTCAAACGCCGATTTGACGAAACTGATTTATTTTGCTTTAACCAGTCACTGATGGTTTTGGCTTCAAACTGTCTTAATTCTATTTTGTTTTCGTTCTTCGGGGTAGTCAACTGCACAAAGATGGTAGGTCACGTGCATGGGGCTCAATTAGGAAATTAATACTTAACATCAGATTGTGGTTTATGTGACGAAAGCAATAAGGATCTATATTATGTCTTAGCTCTGCACGAAGGTACAATAGGTATATCATTTGATTCTTGCCTTAAGCTTTTAGTAATCAAAAGTATTACAATTTTTTATGCTACGTGATCTTTATATCTAATTTGATTATAGCGAAAGGTGAATCAACGAACCATAACTTACTATTGAAGTTGCTATTCGTGATTGTGCTCCCCCGGTTGATGATGAATCAAAAATCATAAACTTATCCAACGTCTAGCGTCTTAAAGAAAATGGAGTTATTTCTGATAATGTTTAATCGTTAGGGGGCTGATCGCTTTTAAGCAAAACTTCGAAACTTTGTGCTATCATTAAATTTCCCCTTATACCCCATTTACGAGACAACGATTAATGGACCATATAAACTATGCTTTATAAGCCTACCGCCGCATTTATGAGATAAGATCAGATTAGGTATTCACGCCTATCCATTAAATTAATTAATGTGAGGTGAAACCTTAGGTGAAATCCTTAAAGCACAACTACTTTGCTTTTCAATGTGTTAACACTAAGATCTTTTAAGGAATTGGTGTCCACTTGGCAAATCAGTCGATCGGCCACACAGCCTGTTTATAGTTTATCCAAACAGCACATGCGCAAGTTGATGGAACAAAGTCCACTTGCTAAATGGAGTTGTCTATTGTTTAAGTGCGTTTGGTGAAGAGCAGTCTGCTGTAATATGCGCTCATGAAAAGAAATGAGTTATTCAAAGTTGTACAACAGTTACACATGCAACTACTAAATCGTGGTAACGAAATAAACAAAGGCATGTCACTTGGATTAATCCTATGTGTATTTGTGCTATATGCCCAATCCAGCACAATTAATTTCGCCTAAATAAGCTTATTTTCGTAAGTATGAGTCCCACTTTCGGTATCGAACAGGCGGGTCTATGTTACTAAATACTGCGAGTGTGGCACACACAATAATAATCGCTGCCTTTCTCAAATGTCAAAAAGGATCCATTTATTTATCCTAATGTTTCCTTAACTTTCTGCCTAGGTTTGTCAAAATCACCATAACACACGCATAACTGCGGCAATAAGAAAGCTAACACTTCTGTTTCTAGAATACCTTGACATTAAGATAAAAATAAAACTTCCCAGAACTTTAAGAATACCCATAATTTGACAACTTAAATATTGGCTTAAAATCTTCTCTAAATCAAGGGCTTAACTAATTTTGAATCTTGAAAATTTATACCATTGAATAATTTTTCAGTCGCGTTAGTCTTAACTCCAGTAATAGGTCCTTAGTGGATCTTTTAAAATACAAACAAAAGCGTGACATTTTAATGCTGATAGCTTTTGTTTGAAATGGTGCACATTAAAAATATAAACGTCTAAGTAAATACAGGTTACGCAGGCGAAGTAGCTTTCACCCATATTATTCCCGTTCGGTTCACGTTTCCGGAATAAGTTTCATTCAGTCCAAATTTACATATTTTGTCTTGGGATAAAATGTGATATGAAATAGTTCATTTCAAATCGACATTCATGTTGAAGTGAGTGAGTGGTTAATGCTTTCGGTTAAGTATCCACGTCTACAGTTAAAATAATGACCGGAAATGACGTTTTCTGGTTTGTGATACCTACGTGGCCCCAAAATCGTCGAATCAGGCTAACAGATGCAAAATGATTTCCATCATAGTATGAGATTGCACCGTAAGTGAGAAGTAAAACTGCTTTGATTTGATTTTCGACAAATGAATTTAAGATGTATTTGCTCATAAATGGTACTGTCTAAGGGTGCAGTCACAGTCACATGCGGAAGACGACCGTACTACTTGGTTTTGTATATTTTTCTGTCAAAATCAAGTGTCACTAGCTCGTCGTTCCTATAAATAACGCACCGAGTAAGGTGGAATCACTTGTTTTTCTATGCTTCTGTGCAATTTCGTCAGATTAAATCCAAATATCTGACAAGGCTGAACGTCTATTTCAGACATAAATAAAAACCTATTAATTCGAATGCAGTCCGTACTTAATACCAACAATGCGATATTAGAGTCCCAGGTTTATTGGTGCTAGTGGTTATCAGGTCTTATGGAAGAAGAAAAATTGACGCATAAAAAGCGGTGTCAAGGTGCCAATTTTTAATGCTTTGGGATAGCGGGCTATTTGGTTTACCCCATAAGTCCTCATCCCAAAGATGGAAGATTAATTATAGACATTTAAGTACATTGATACTGTTATCAATGCGACTTCGCTACATAAATTACATTAAACTGTCAAATGGGGGATGGTTTACTAATGTCAAAATCTTACAGTTACACACTCAAACGAATTAAATTTACTCGAACAAAAGATCCGTAAGACGCCTCCATCATTAATTTGCACACGCTCAAAAAAGGGACCTAAAATTGTTTTGTGCATGGAGGACACTGCCCATAAGTTTTTCACAAATTTCAATAAAAATAAGATTGGGAAATAGGCTACCTCAGCTTTTTCCTTTTAAAACATTTTGCCAAATTTGCCGCCACTTTAACGTACATAGGATGGGTGGAATGAAGCAACCCGTCTTTGCAATCTCCATTGAATGTGCAATTCTTGAGGGCGTGCAAAGGCATGCATGGTTGGGTGCTGTGTTGGAGCGTAAGCGTTTGGGCGGTCAATATGTGATTGCCCTGGTGCGGACGCTGCCAGTACAGACGGCTTTCACTTATGTGGGCACTGATGCGCAGATGAATATTGGGTTACTGCCTGCCAGCGTCCGCTACCTCAGCCCCTCCCCTGACCGCAAACAAACCACTCCTAATCTGAGAAATCTCTGATCTAGAAGCCATCCTCTTAAGATCATATGGAACCGAAGGAAGCATAGCTTTTCATCAGCTCGCCAGCCACCAGAAGTCGGAATCTCCGACCTCTTTGGCTTTTGAAGTGTTCAAAGCTAAAAGGTGAAAAGAAAGGAGCAGTCAGCTTTTAATTATTACAGCCACTTCGGTGTGTTTGAATCGCCTCACAATAAGGGAAACATGTGAATTTGGCGTCCATTACGTAATGATAAACCTTATTTTCTATAATTCAACTTTTGTGCACTTTAATATTTTTTCAGACACTACTTTTGATATTACAAGATCAAATGAACTACAAATTAACGGCTCCTTTGTTTTTCATTTTAATAGCCCTCCTGATCGAATGTTGGCTTTTTGATTTTTAACTTTTCAGTGGGTTGTTTTAATCACTTAACCGGAATAAAAGCAGGACTGCGTTGAAGTGTTGGTGTTAAGTTGGATAAACATTTTTATCATACGTATATTCATTGCGTTCAAATGGTCATCAGGAATGGGACAGCAAGATTGAATCTCAAGAAGAAAGGTTAATACGTTGGACAGGAATACTTTTTTTTAAAGTATAGCCGACAAGAATCTAACATAATCTGATTCATTCCAGCCATAGTTAAGCTAGTTTCTAACGGCTTGTTCTTGTACTTTGTTAAAGCCTTTTTACAGTAATGTCTTTTATTATCTTATAGCTCCAAAGTTGGTTTATAGGAAGCAACATGACACTTTTGCTTATTTGCCCAACTGACCTTAATTAATGTTTCAGTTGGGCACTACTTCGTCACAAATCGGAGTGACATAAATGGATTCGCGTAAAATATTTTCCAAACATTTAGTATAGGCCGCTCCAATGCCACCATTTTATAGTGATGGAACAATTGCTCTGTATCCGCAAACCTTATCGTAGTTACTTTTACGTATAAGGTGAGGACACCTCATTGTGATTTAAGCTGGAATGAAGTCAGAGAGTAATATTAATAGGACATTTTATTAGTCTGTAAGAGATTAACGTTTCAATTACATACATATGATTATTGCTTTAAATTACTCCGTGCACTGACTGGGTTTTTTGTTTTTACTTGATCGTATTTTGTTGAGCATATTTTTGGGTTTTATTGAATGGGCATTACAAAGCATTTGCGGTGGATAGCAAATAAGGGTTGCTTAATAAGATGCAAATGAAAATTCATTTATTGTGTACGCTAACGAAGACTTCATACTCTTATTCATACGTGGATCCAACTTCTAGAAAACTACCGTTCCCATAGTGCTTCATCTCAAAATGTTTTATTGAAAATTAATGTTAAGATGTAACCAGCCAAAAAATGTCACGTGTGTTGCAGCCCACCGATATCCCATTATTGCACATTCCTGATCCATAGCCATAAAGTACAACGCAAAATCGAAATATTTTAATTTATAGAACTTGTAAGCTTTATATTGATTAAGACCTTTAAAATGGTTCTTTCTTAACTTCAGCCCAAGTAAACATTTGAACAACTGTTAAGCTAGTAGTGAAGACAGTGTATTAATCGGCATTGTTTAACATACTTCATCATGATAAAACTACCCATTGATTCCAACTTTTAATGCTGGTAGGATCAGTTAGGTTGAAAAAAAAGAGAAATAATCATGAATTGTGTTTCCACTAACAGATGATGTGAGCTTACAAACCTGTTGTGCAACCTGTCAGAGATGACTTGTGGATTGCGCAGCATTAAAATACTTTTTAGGGAAAGGTTCTGTTTTTTGTAAAACATTACTTCTCCTTTCGATAAATTCGAAGTGTTACTTAGCGCAACTTTTATAGTCAAGCCTACTTCCCACCTCAATTTATTTAAGTACTGTGAGTGAAAATAAGACTAAGACATGAGCATGAACTGATGTATTTGGTTAATAACATTGGTGCTTTAGTGATCTGACAGTTGGTACGCTTTATACCAAAAAACTCTTGCTCTTTACATTTGGAACTGTGCCTTGTATTCAACGCACATTCCTAGTTGTTTTCGTAACTTAACTGTTGTATTGGATGGTTGTTTTTATACATCCTCGCAATTAAGTGATTTTTGCATTCTCAGCATTAGCTTAGTTAAAAGACCACCTAGCTTTGCACTGTAAACACACCGCATCTTTCAAATTATGCCCACTCCATTTCGACAGCTAAGGTGTTTTGACAAAATCAGTATTTTAAAGTGGAATTTTTTAAGTTGTTTGTGCTGTTCGACAAAGCACGGATTTAAGCGCGCCTACTGATTAGTTCATTCTGTGTCAGCGAATGGTGATTTTTTGATTTCATGTTGGGCAACATTAATTCGGGCATTCTTTGCGCAAAATAAAATCAGAAAAGCATTTCGACCTTCATACAATAAAGGCGAGTCGAATTTTTCCCATATTCCGCACCGATTAGTAAGTGGCAATACACAGGCGTCTAGTTTTGAAGTACGACGATTTAACTCGGGAAAATTGCATTCCCAGCAGCCCCTTTGGAGTTGTTGATGCATTACTCATCGTGAGTAATGAACATCTTGGCTAGGAATTTAAACGATGACACTTCAGGTGAAAGTAGACACACAAAATATCAAACGACAAAAGAGCGCTTTGTGGACGCCAGGTATGTTCTAACATATAAGACAGATGTCACAGATAATCTCGGTGATTATCGTTACAGTAGGAATATTGGAGCTTTAACCAGTGGCTCAAACTATTTACTATCCAATTAAAGTCGTTTGTTCTCGTTCCTTCAATATTTATCGGGATAGACTTTAAAAGAATTCCCACTACGAATCAGTCGGTTAAGTAATAACTATGCTTTTTGGAAGGAAGACTCAGAAATGGTAAGGCAAACGTCCAGGATTTATGAGTACATTGATGTCACCGTCCCAGTTTTCGTGTGACAATTCCATACGCTTCTACTACTAATAATGCGATCAAACTCAATGACAATGATTCTAACCATTAGATCAAAAGAAACCTCAATACATTTTTGCGTATCAAGGCATTTCAGAAAATTAACCAATTTTAGAACAATTACAAGTTTAATGAACTGACATGGGTCAAAATAACAGTGTGCTTGTTTTAGCCCGTGTATTTTTTGAAAAAACGGATTGCAGCAATTAAAGAAAAAAGTTAAGAATTATGAGAGATTTCATTGTAGTCCTTCGGATTGACTCCAAAGACATCATCATTTTTAAAACGCCTGGGTAATAGTTATGAAGAAGTCGCGAAGAGAATGTAACCTTTGTGACAGTGATCAGGCTCACTTTATTTTAAGCACTAGCTATTAGTTTAAATTAACACTACTAGTAGCCTAACCTATTATAAAAGCTTTCACCGTAAAGTGTGTTATGATAAACAGCAACTAGTAGGGTTATTGAAATGCAACTCCTGCTTAGGACTAGCAGATCATTATTTGGGAATTCCACTGATCAACGAGAGCGGTGATGTGGATTCAGGATTCGACAGGTTACATTACTACGTTCCCACCTTTGGTGCGGTAACCGCAATTCATTCGAATGAGGCATCACGCAGAATGCACACTTTCTGTATTGATAGGCGAAGTCGTGTTTTTTTAATTTCATATAAATTACGCAATTTGCGATTTTGCACAATAGACAGTTTTGGTAAACTACAGGAAAAATCCACCCACATAGGCTTTGGTGACGACAGCTGCACTTATTGGTTCATTCATTTCCTTAATTGGAATATAACTCCACAAATTTGCGTCATGAATATCGATAACTACCAATCTTTTGACACGGAGCCAGCTTTTCACAGCGTATATATTTAGAAGTTATTGAAAAAGATACCATGGCAAAGTAATGATTCTAATAAACCTAGAAATCAGCAAATCAAAGAGCTAGCGCAGTACTGATCTTCCGGCTACATGGAAATGTAAGAGTACTTCTTAATCATCGTCAAGAGGCAGTGGTGATAGAATTGAGCACCAACATTGCATATTTGCCGGCAAAAAAATTAAAGTTATTAACTAGTGGAGCACTAAAGCATGAACTCAATAAATAAATACAATAATATAGGTCTGGAGATTACGAGATAAAGTGGAATTATTTAGAGTTAATGACCACAAGTTATGACTGTTGGGTCGAGCAGTGTAGACATGTTCCAGCTTGAGCATAAGTCCTTTTGCAACCCATTATTCATATACATTAAAGTATGACTAATTACTGCGTAACGATGGCTGTATTGATCAACAATTCGTTGCAAAAATGGCAACAAGATGGACCAAATCACATTAAGCTTTACCGAGCGTAACCAGTTTAAAAATATGCGCCATACAGCTGCAGTTGTGAAATCTGTTGCATAATATGACCCACGTTGTGTACAATTTGATGCTTTAAAAGTGCAATGGAAAATAAATGTCTATATTATAGCCATACTTGGCAAAATCCAATTCAAAACCTATCGCAAATGGTCCTCTATACATATTTCGTAACTTTTACCATCTTATTTCCCTTCCTATATATCTCGACTACTGCTTCACAGTCCACTGGTTCCAAAGAAATTTTTTACCCCATTTTCAATTTTCATTAGGATTTCACCGCGAAGACCAAATGTGGGCATAGCGTAGATTAATGGCATCAGTTAGTCAAAATTCGGTTTACAAGTTCAGTTATTACGTTTGCATTAAATGCTGTTGGCAGAATAAAGCTGGAAATTAGTTCTGTCAAAGCAAAAGCCAAACCGTGGGGACTAAGGCCACGTAATTGGAATTAAAGTCGTACAAACGTGATCAATCACGCATCAATGCCATCTAATTTAGTTATGTGATATTTGACGGTGTTAATGCTAGTTTCGCAGCTATAATCTTTTTTCATGCAAGGTTAATGCTCCATCGCATGGTAAATGCTTTAATGGTGACCAAGTATGATTGTAATCGTAGATTCTGGTCTCTCATCATTCAAGCCTTTAGAATTTTTAGGTATAATTTTAGAAAAAAGAGGGGTTTTAAAGACTAGTTATACTGCTAGTCTATCATTAAGAAGAATAAAAGTGGTTTCCAAAGTCTACAGTCGTTACTTGAGCTATAACAATATTCTTTTGCAGTTAACATACCTTGGATCCTATGGCAGTTCTATACAGAATAAGCGCATTTAGCTCTGTACTGCGGTGCAAGGGAATTGATATGATGGGTAAACTATGCTGGTGGTATAACTACTGCAAAAGAGATTAGGCAGCATAATTGGAGTAACGTATGCATCTTGAGAAAAGATCCTACGTAATTCATATTCGAGTTACCAATCAAAGAGCCATCAATAATATCTTTATTAATTATCAATCAACTTCCTAGAGAGTGTCCAAACCGTATGTAGTAATTTGATACTTTGTTCCACTGTGTGCTTGACTGTGTGCGCAATGCAGTTCTCGTGGAGTGTACTTCCATCGAATGGTCTAACCTTATTTCCCTGCTAATAGCCTGCCAGCTTTTTGTATACTAGAGATATAAGTTTATTTTGACTCCGAGGAAGGCTGGGGTACCTACAAAAAAGTGTTAGTATTCAAATTAATTAGTATTTAATCATTGTGATTTATGTTGCGTGCGGTGCAGCCTTGCCTAACATATCCGTTTTATCTAACACTGCATCGCTTTTACCGCCTCATGGTCTTTATATTCTGTCAATAAACTCAATAAGAAGTCAAATTATCCTTCATTATCTCTTAATGCATAGGAATTGTACAATAGCTAAGCTCAATCTCATTTTTCTCATAAATTGTGCAACATTTTCTAAGCACTTTTTTCATCTTAAAGCATAGTATGTCCTAACTTATTAACACGATGCATTTTATCCAGAATTAGTCGGTTTTTGTTAGACAGTATATAACTACGGGTTTTTGAAATCCACCGTTATCATTCAATTACGTAGACTCCTGAAAGACCTTGAATAAATTCAGTTGTTGTTATAAGCTTTCAACTTAAATCTGATTGGTTTAGTCAGAAACGTCCCGCCATTCGAACATAGCCTGCTCATTTCTGCCGTTGCTGGCGTTGCTTTCCATCTGTTTAGGTAGTGTCTGAGGTGAGAAATTGCTTATTTTTGGAATTTGTCTTTAAACAATACCCAAGGTTAATCTCTCCAACCCTACCTTTTGGGCTCTGTTTCATCATGCTAAAGTGCGTCAAAATTAGGGCTTCACTGATCGTTCTCACGATAATTTCCGTTGTTGTCTCCTCGGAAAATCCTACTGTAACTGGTGTTATTCCCAGTGAATTTATTAGTCTTAGTGCTGGTGTCATCGAAGTTCCACCTAACAAAAATATCACTTTGTATATTTACGGGGAGAGTTTTGAAAATGTGACCTACTTGGCCTTCGCAACATCTAGGAGTGAAGATTCATTTTCTTGTGAAAATCATCGTGCAACAATTGCCTTTATTGTGCAGAAGCCCACAGTCTACTCACTAGAAACTTCTGTTTTGCTACGCCAACTGACGCCATTTGAAAGTGCCTTCTACATTTGCTTTAAATTGGCTCATCCGTTTTCTCACAATAATCAAACAGTAAGCTGGATTCACGCCACGCCGACGTACCCCGCAGCAATCGTCACCCTTCGAACAGCCTCTACCATTATGCCCTTATGGGTTCAGATTATTCTTATTATTATCCTTTTCTCCTTATCCGGTCTCTTTTCCGGACTGAACCTTGGATTGATGGCGCTAGATAAAACAGAACTTAAAATTATTGAAACGGCTGGAGATCCTGACGAAAAGCGTTATGCAAAAGCCATTCGTCCTGTAAGGGAGAAGGGGAATCTGTTGCTCTGCACTATTTTGCTCGGAAACGTGACGGTCAACACATCCCTCACCATACTCATGGATAATCTAACCGGTAGTGGTTTGTTTGCTGTCATTGCTTCGACACTGGGTATTACTATGTTCGGTGAAATTCTCCCACAAGCAATATGTTCCCGCCACGGCCTCGCCATCGGGGCGAAAACAATCTGGCTCACACGATTTTTCATGGTGGTCACATTCCCGCTCGCCTTTCCGATCAGTTATGTTCTCGACAAAATGCTCGGAGAAGACCTTGGCCAGGTTTACAGCAAGGAAAAACTTGGCGTGCTGTTAAAGGAACAGGTAAGTGCCATGGACTGCTTGCTTTTAACTGTTGGATTTTTTTAAAAATGTCACAGAATCTTAGGTTCCCTCAATTTTCGACCATTTCTGTGTCTAGCACACTTTGTGTATTGAAAGGGCTAAATTTTTAATCTTTTTTCATTTAAGACAGTCGTATTTCGTTCCCAATTGTTAGGTACACTTGATTTTACTTAATCTATCTGTCGGGTATGGTTTTATTTTTTATGGTGCTTGAAGTCCTCATTTTCTAGTAATTGACCCAAATAATAAAAAAACCTTTGAACTCATAAGTGCCTGAACAAATTCAAGTGGTCTAAGGACCATGGATAAGAATTGTTTGTTCTACACTTTGCCCTACTCTTATGCCCATTCGACAAGTATCTTAAATCCTTACAATTGTCCATTCCGATCTTTAAAATCTTTTTTTTCATAAAACTAGCCCTAAGATTTGTTCTAGAGTTACTGCGCTTGGCTGTTTAGTTGAATGAAAAGGAGATACCGTGCTTTTATTAATTAAATCAAATGCTATTGGCCTTGGGACATTAAATTATTCTGGTTTGTGCCACGGATTTTTAAAGTTCTACTTTTATAAAGATCGGTTCTTAAACCGGTTAAAAATCTCAGAAATGCCCACACTGGACTGGCACAGCATTAAATGATTCCACTGCCTTCCCGTCCAAGGTATCACAGCTAATCGTTGCAATTAACGAAAACAGTTGCTGTTTTTAAAATCTGCACTCAGTTAACGTGATGTATTATATAACAAAATTATTTTAATGCATTCGATTTTACTGTAGGCCACCGGACCTGGTGATGCACTTTGTTACACCATTCAGTAAATACTCTCAAAAATGTTGGGAGTGAGGAGACGGGGTGCCTTTGTTGAGACTATCATGCGCATTTTTTGTAAAGTAAGGATTAGCGCCTCAAAGACACGCAATTTCTTTGCCGTTGTCGTTTCTATGTACACATAGGGAATTTCGTTCTACTTTTATTGGGGATACGTTGTGGTTTAGTTTCTTTTTGGAAATGTGTAATTGTCGATATCACTCTTTTCCATCCTGCCACCAATTTTTGTAGCTGCTTAGTTTTAAAGTAAGGGCATATCTTATGTTCTCGTTTCACCTGTCAGTCAGGCCTTTGATCTGTCCTAAAATTGTGGATATTGCTCACTTGCCCGTGGCACTCTCTTCTTTATTTAGGAATTTAATTTTCTTGATGCATGTTCTAATTAAGTTATTATTATTATCTGGTAGCAAGATGCCGGTCTTGTCGCGCCAGATGAAATGAACATAATTGCCGGTGTCTTGAACATGTCTACGAAGACTGTGAAGGACATCATGACACAGCTTAGTGATGCTTTTATGCTGCCCAGTACAGCTCTCTTGGACTTCGACACAATGAACGAAATATTTTCCCATGGCTTCACTCGAATTCCTATGTATGAGGGAGATCGGAGGAACATCAAAGCTATCCTCAATGTCAAAGACCTTGGCTTTATTAATGCCGATGACAAAGTGCCTGTGGCAACTGTCTGCAACTTCTACAATAGGTCTATTCTCGTAGTGCCAGAAACCACCAGTCTTGAGGCTATGCTCAAGGAATTCCGACAAGGTATTTAAAATGATTTCCCCTTCAAACTTGTTTAATATATTTTAGATCTTATGAGGTTGAGTGTAGTCAGTAGTATCTTGTATGGTGGAACTAATGCGAGCATGATCTCGCCCATTAAAGTACACTTTAAAATCACTGGTTGTGGGCAATGCATTTGTGCAACCCGTGTCGACTATGCTTAGATAGGTTTTTTATGACGGATTCAAAGCAGATACGTCTATGAATTGCACTGTGACCGTAGTTGAAAGTAAGAGCTTAATAGTGGTCGAGGTAATACTTAAAGTAATGATTCAGCCCTTGCTATTCACTGATTGCCTATTAATTTGTCAAATGCCATAGCTACTATTTTTGGCAGACCTTTGTCTTTCCCTAGTGAGAAATTCAATCCGTTTTTCTTAAGACTATCAGAACAGCTGCCTTTCTAAGGCTTTTCTCGGTGTGTCAAGGTGTATTACTGGCTTCCTTCAATATCCTATTGTTTAACTCAGTGAGGCATTTCCGCATAGTTTCCTTCTCTTAGTTCTGTTTTCCGTGCTCTTGTTTTAGATTGTCCCACGGGATTAGTTGCAGACAGTTAAGAATTTATTTGTCTTGCTAGTACTCTAGTACTTGGCAATATTTAGGAGGATGAAAGGTGTCTAAATGAATCTCCATGAGCTCGAGAGTAGAAAGACTCTATTATTATTTCAATTTGATTCCAATTGAATGTGTGTATTTATGATTTACGAGCTTTTATTTCACTTAATGGGTTATTTGTTTGTTTGCAGTGCCTCCTTATTTACGAACCTGTGATTTCACTCGTTTTAAATGTTTGGACTTTTACAAAAAGTACATTTCTCATTTCCTCCGCATTTTCCAACTGCTTCAGTGAATTGCTTTGTGTACGTTACTGGAGATTTTCTACACATAACTCAATCGAAGATGTCTTATTTCAGGTGTTGTATTTTATTTGATATATGTGCAATTTTTCACAAAATCTCGCCCCATACACGAGCATTTTGCTTGTCTTTCAAAGTTTGTACTCTATTTTGGTCTATTTGCGCCAAGTCTCGATATACCAGCACCGAGTTTCAAGTTTGCAAAATGATCACTTTATACGATGTTATCGTCTTCGTTAATTGGTCCATTTGTTCGTGGTGCCATCGCTTTCGATTGTTTGGTGGCCCAATCGCGTTTTGTCTTTCCAAAGTATAATGTCTTTTCAGTAATACTTAGCATTACTACAAAAGAGTTGGCACAGATAATAGCGTTTAAACTAATTTCGGTTGACATCATTTCTACCGGCATTTTCGTGAGTCCGCTGGATCCTATGTTGCTTACCCCTTCAGCGTCGGTGATTTTTCGGTCTGTGTTCTGTTTATGTTTACTTAAATCGTCCGCACATTTCATTTGCTAGTTTTATTGTTGCTCTATTTTACATGGCGCTCAGGTGCGGTGCCCTAGTAAGGTCCTATTTCATCAATGCTCGTGCCACACGCCTTGGCATCTTGGTTTAGTATTATGCCAAATTCCTGCCTTTGTTCATGCATGTAACTGCGGTAGTTATATCCGTGAGCGTTTACAGCAACAATCAAGGCATAGTTGTGCCTATGACCACTTCTGACTTCCACAAGAATTTTTGTCTTATTCAGCATTCGCCTAGCAGTTAATGCCAAGCAATTGTGCTGCGCACACCATATTGTCAATTTACCTATATTCTCAAGCCAATATAATTATTTGCGCTTTTTACTGTTTTCAGGTAAAACTCACATGGCGTTTGTAGAACGCATCACACCCAATGGTGTTGGTGATCCTTTCCAAGAATTGGTCGGTCTTGTAACACTGGAGGATGTCATTGAGGAAATAATTCAGGCTGAGATTGTGGATGAAACAGATATTTTCAGTAAGAATAATAAATTCTTCACCTAATGTGTTCCTTTGTTTAACGTTTGCTGTCAATCGGTTCTTAGAATAAACTTCCTCGTTTTAGTGTATCTAGTATACGGTTTTTCATGATAAATGAATATAGCACCACCAAAAATCTCTTCTTAATACTGGTTTTCTCAAGACTGGCATAACAGTTGAACAATTACGATCACAATTATCACAAAGGTGTAGAGTTCTTGATGCAAGATGTGTTAATGGTTAGCATACATGCTAGTTAGTTTTACTGCATTCGATGGTGTAATTTCAATCTAATGTCTCTAACGCTGTTACCAGAACCCGAAAAGCATCATCAAACTCAAAAGCTCAATGATTCATAGTCTTTCTACATTAAGAAACGCTTTCTGATTTGAAGACTCTTCAAATCCAACATTTGGATATGAAACTGATATAAGGTTCTCTTGACGTCCCAGTACTATGGGGTTGCTAAGCGCTCTGCAACTTCTTTTAGCCTTTTCCCAAATGTTAAGCGAATTAATCTCAAATAGCACCATACATGCCAAATGGCCCTATTATTTTGAGATTACTAATCATTCGGGTTTATATCTCAGCCGATAACACGAGGAAGCAGCCACGCCTCGTTAGAAAAACAGATTTCCGTGTTTTCAACACCTCCAACTCCAACAAACCACGCCACCATCTATCACCGCAGCTTAAAATTGCTGCTTTGCGTCACCTCGCTTCAAGTGAGTTGTTTAACTTTTCTCTCCTACAACTTTTCTGTACATTCTCCACTTGGGATTTTGCATCCATTTGTATGCACTTTATAAGTCATTGCTTCATGTACAACAGGTATAAATGTGTGCTAACTAAAGCCAGATCTCTGCTAAATGTTTCTTTCCTAGGCGCATCGGTTTCAACTTATCAGCCAATCTGTTTTTCATCCTTAGGTTGGTCTTCAGATTACCTTCAGTGTCTTTATTGGTAGCATTTACCATCCACAATAGGAAGATTTTAGTTTGTTAACTCTCGGGTCGAATGATTGTTTTGCATAATCCCCTCAATAACGGGTCCGCCGCCTCATGTCCATTCTCTTTCCGATTTTTAACGACTGATTTTAATTCTTATATTTACTTGAAACTCGAGATTCTCCTATTTTAATATGTTTTAATCTAAAGCTCGGCACTTTTCAGTAATCATTCACCTCAGGTCTTTTTGTCTGAGCCTCAGAAATGGTGCGTAAAGACGACTACTAGCTAAAACTAGCCATTCTGGTCCTAGATTTTGTCCATTTTCAATGCTATAACATCGGGGCATATAACCCACCGTCTAGAGTCGATTTAAAAGTCAATCTGTGTTGGGACTTGTATGCTATCTTATTACTCGCTTCATCCTGTTTTTTTGCGCCGTATTGATGTTTTTTTCCTATGGGAATTGGTGGGGTATCGTGCGAAGTCATTTGGCAATTTGGATATTTTGTTTCCGCGTTTTAGGTAATTTATTGGCCTTTTTTGGCATGCAGGGTATTCTGCGTTCTCCACCGGGATATTTGGCGTGATTTGCATCACAGCATGTTTTCTAATGCGCGCGATATGCGATATTAAAGCCTTGTCATTTTTCTGGCTTTTCTCAAAAAGTATCGTTCGTTCTACTTTCGATCTCATAGAACACGTTTTTTGGACTGTTTCTTATTTTGATAAACAATCACTACAAGCCCTGATAATGCGTCGATCAAAGTTACACCTATATATATGGTTAATTCGGCGCCGTTTTACCAGGTCATCAGGTATTTTGCGCTTGGATTTAATATGACCTTTTCACTGAAGTCAGCTATTTTTTCGTTTTGCCATGGACGAGGCAGCGATAGTATGATTTTTTACAAGTGCACCTAGATGAAAGTGTCAAAAATATTACTCGACGAGTTCGCTAAGGGGAATATTTTGGCTTCTTGTTTTTACCGTGTGTTAATTATCGCCAATTCTTATGTATGATTTTATTTTAACAATTGTGCTGGTCGTTCAGTTGAAAACAGTGCATAATCCGATCTCATGAGAGCTCTCGTCTCGGTCGTTAAGAGGTCGATCACCAAGCACTTTTACACTTATTGCTACCTTTAAAATATGGTTAACCTTCTCTGTCGTGCGGTTTAACCTCCGTGTTCCAAGGAGATTAAACCTTTAAAAATGCCACACTGCTCAAACATTGTAAGTACAATGATTCAAGGTGTCGTGCTTTCGCTTCTTCAGATGTGGATGCTTTCAAGGATGAATACGTCGCCTTGTCTGTGCTCCAAAGTATGCTCAATTCTAATGTCGTCATCAACCAGGTCTTCAAGTAAGTGATTTTGTAAAGTGGAGGGCACCTTTTAATCTGTCGTTTGATGAAGGTACAACTCACGATATTAATTTACTCAACAAACATTTGTGGTATGCATTGTCCATTGCAGTTTTTTGCCATGAGCGACAGACCATTTCAATGCCTTTAGCTTGGAACTTTGCAGACTGACTTTAACTGCATTAAGGACTAGAAATTGTCAACCAAATTCTTTTACTTAAAACAGCTGTGCGGTGTTGTTCGTTTACCACCCCTTACGCATCTCATGTATCTTTGTGTCTTCTGCGGAGCTTTTGAGTCAAATATGGGTTAGCTAGAACCATCACTAGGATGGAATTCCAAAGGAGTTTACTTTTTGGTTTACATGAATTGTTGTCCCTAGAGGTTTTCTAGTGAAGGTTTTCACGAGCACCAAACAGATAATTTAATTTTGTTTTTTCTTCTACTAAAAATCCTTTTTAAGGTTACTTCTTTTTTTAAACCGTGTACTGATTAGTATTTCTAAAAAATTGACTTAGTAGGCAAATTTATTTTAACTGCTACCTTGTACTTATGGCTATGATTTCGCTTTTTTATTCTGCCCAAAATTGAACAGCTTTAGAGGACTTTCAAGCGTTTGCAAATACTCCTGATTAAATGCTCAGTGCTCATCCGGGCTCTCAGACCCTAAGTACTGGCAATTCATAGATCAAGGTCCATTTCATGGCTGCGGTCGCCACTGGAGCATTGAAGATGGAATTTCCCTAAAAGTTCGCTTTATGCATTACCATTCATACAAACTTTTGGCGATTAGTTTTTACATTAATTGCTCGGGCTCTTAAAATACCTTCTCCGCAAGTAAAGTTTTTAATAAAAGTGAGTAGATACTTGGCCTATATTATCTGACGGGCAAGTTTATCAAGTGCATTCTTAATGGGGCGGTTTTGCCACCTTGAGTTTCTTTTTGTAAGTGTCTACTGGATCATACAAGTATATACAAAAGGTTTTTTTGGAATATCTTTATCAATATAGTACTTTTGGCCTGCACTTTCAATTGTTTTCCCATAATTACGGTACAAAGCTGGATGGTTTTCTTTCGTCTCGTAGTTCTCACGATGAAAATGAAAATATAATTTACAAAGCGAATCAATGGGCAAACTACGCTGTGCTCATTCTGCAGGGCAGAGCCCTAGTGGAGACCAGCAACGAAAAACTTCTCTTCGAAGCTGGGCCATTCATGCTTTTTGGTGAAACTGTATTCAAATGTGAGTCATTTTTTTACTCTTGTATGCTATTTTTTCGACTGACGAGTTCAGTAACATAGGATTTCAAAATTGAACTTCCACTTTTAGCACGGGTTGTGGTCTGGAAATTTTCGCACTCCAATCGCAGCCTTAGTACCTGCCTTTTCCATTGTTTGACTTGTGGGTTCGGATCCACTATTTTGCGAAAACCCCAGCCTTTCCCTTATTTTTGCCAGTGTACTTGAACCTCTATCCTGCTTTGTTTACCAGCATTATGCCAATAGTGTAGAATTCCTTTTTAATCGTGTGTGCGATCTAGCCCCACCAAAACATAGTCTTTGCTCCTCATAACGCTGATGTGAAGAAGAGATGTCAATTTCGTCCGAATGGGTCGGATGTGTCCATGTTTATTAAGAACATCGTAGGCTCCGATGTAGCCTTGATTACTGCTTGTAGCTGGAAGAATCAGTGATTGTTTTACCGTTTTCTGGGACCTCTCTAATCCTTATGCTTCTGTTTTTGCAAACCCACACTAATACGGTAAAAGTTGAGAGACGTCAAAACCAAAATTGCACAAGATTTAATGTACCCATGGTATTTTAGCCCTCATTGAGCTAAAAACCATCTGCCTACGTAAGGAGTCGAAGGGCTTGTTTTTGTCTCCTTGAAGGGCTATTAAATCATCTACTCTGTCACTTCTTAGGAACGCGCAGCCTTCGAGGTTGAGGACCGTAATACAAGGGCTAGTAATGTGTGCTATTTGGTGGGGACAGTTTTTGGAGTCTGCGGCTGGAGGTGTCTTCATTAGTCAAAATTGAATTCAATTTAAGCATGAATATTGTGCGTTGGGTCAAAATTCATCGATTCTTTATTCAAAAAGCTTTGTGAAATAAAACTATTTTGGGCTTTTGACTTTGATGAAGGTAATTGGCTTAAAGAAATTTTTTTAAGGGAACTACCAAGGCTTTGATATGGGCCTTTGCCATGGAAAGGGATTTGGCGAAAGTCCGGGCTTTTTCCTATTCCACTAATGTGAACTGGTTTATTCACTATATGCAGTCGAAGAATGCCGTACTAGGTTTCGTTAATGCAGCTTATTCAACACCTATTTTGGTGGAGTAGCCACTTTCACTGTTTTTGGACACGCTTAAGGTGACGCTTGGGTTGTGCTTTGCTTACTTTTCCTAGAATTTTTTTTGCTGTTTAATGGTAATTTGATTCTTTTTAAAGTATTTCCTGCTTTCACTTGAATAAATGCACCCATTGCCTATGTGAAGTGAGATCGGTAGCGGTTCCTTACTTGAATTTACTCATATTGACTATCCAGAGGTATGGTGCCATGCGCAGCGATCGCTATAAGAACCCAAATACCCTTCACAAGGCGGGTGTAGCTTGCATGCATAATCCGCTTGATGGCGTCTTACTTAATTGAATCAAGAACCGTAGACAGATGGAGGTTGTTAATAATGCCGTTTTTGGTGTTGGTGTAGATGTAAATGACATCTATCCAGAGGTATCAACCCTCAAGGATCCTGAGCTACAGTCGGCCCAGCTGGCGGCGCGAGCTCGCTTCCTGCCCGACTACACAGTGCGTGCAGCAACCAACATCGAGTACCTCCGCATCACTGCTGAGCACTATCTCCTTGCGCGCCGCCTCACTGTCTGGATCACTAAACTCCACCCTCAAGGTGAGCTCTCTATCGACACACGGCGCTCCTATGTCGCTTTAGGCTCCTTAATCCACTTCATAGTCTTTAGTTTACCTTATTAGTGGAGCAAATCAGGCTTCTTCGTGTACTTGGAGAATTTCTTATTTGCTTTGGAATACTTGCATTTGGGTTATCTTTTATTTCCATGTTTTATGCTTCACTTGAATAACTGGAGTCCTTTATCTGAATGACCGATCATTTATTCCTATTTAGGGACTTATTCGGTTTGGATCACGGGGTTGAAACAGGTTAATATGCGTTTAATGTCTTTATTTTAAGTGGATTTAATCGCGGGTGTATGCAAACTGTCTTTTGCGAGCCTTAAGAATACCGTTGCCTGCTGTTTACTATCAGGCGCAAATTCGCAAGAGTAGCTGAGAGAAGTGATGAAATGAATGTTCATGATGCACACGAGTTATTATGCAATTCCGTATTCGTGGACGGTTGTCTGTCTTTGCACACGGAGGTATCAACCGCAGCCAGCAAGCTAACCGGACAGCTCCTTTTGGATCGAATGCACTTTAACAGGCTGCCTCACTGATTAAAATTTTTTCAATGTTTTCAAAAGTCCCCGTTTCAAGTTCGTTGAATCTTCAAATTGAAATTCAATTTGGAGTCTAGAGTGAAAACTAAAAATGATGAAACGTGTTTCTGTTTGTTTTAACAGACCCGGAAGCGGTTTCACCGTCTCAGCAGAACATAATCGATGATGTGTTCGGCTCTGAGCCGACCAATGAAGGTGTGGTCTTGCCATCAGCAACGCCCGAATAGTTGCTGGTGGGTGCTGAAACCGGTGACAGTGTTGTTATTCGCTTACATTATGCGCCACCATGGCATGCAGATGGCCTCTACTCTATCCTTATTTCACTTTGTTCCAGGCTAAATTGCGCTGGGCATTACTTGTCATTGCTTGTGAATGTGCTTACATCTCTTACCACTTGTCATCTTGCCCATAACCTTACACTACTTTCAACACCATCCACTTTCCGTCGTGCGACTCATTACAAACCCGAGTATGGGAATCCTGATTCAGGCTCTTCACAAAAGGAGGAGTAGCTTACCGTAATGTGCGATGGTAATTGAAAGACGAATTCATTTGGGGTCTGACTGTTTAGAGCTTCTCTCGTATATCTCCTTTTCCCGTCCACATACGCCCAAGTTTAATCACTCTTTGCCATTTGAGTTTCAGGAACTTTCAGTAATACTTTTATGGATTAAGTAGTTGCCATTCGTCCATGTCCTCCATTTTGTTAGTTGTTCCATGTGTCCCTGAAGTGTGTTTGAGCTTTGCTGGAGGGCGCATTCTTTTTGTATTCATTCAGCTCAAAATTTTAGTACAACGAAAATTGGGTACTCGCTTCTGCTTCATGCCACGCGCTTACCTTCTCGTCATCCGACATTTTTATTTTTATCGCTCTGTAGTTTGGATGTTGTGGGGTGTTCGTCGCTTTTTGCGCACGCTTTGCCCATCATATTTGAATACATTTATCCGCAAGAAATTTACCATTCACCACCACAGCAAAGCTAACGCTGAGACAGGAGATTGCAGTGGAATTGCAAAACTACTAACAAGCAAATTAATGGTAATATTTAACAAATTAATTTATACATGCCCAGATATTTCATGACCCCTGACATAGTACATTCAACTTTTCCATATTTTACGTTTTATTGCGCTAACATTCATCTACCCTTATTTAGGCCTTTAAACTAAGATAAATGGTTGCATTTATTTAACAAATAATCAGGCCATCTTAACCTTTTACTAAATTCCATCATTTACTGGTGAGTAGTATAAGTAGGGTTTGTCAAGCCTCATTATTGCCCCATCCTTGTCCTGTGAATGATTTGGAGGCAGATGGCCAGGGCAGTGGAAAATTTCCAGTGCCGCCCTTGTCTGAAGGCGTCAACTTTTCCGTGAACGGAAGCACAGAAGTATAACCTTAGCTTGATTAAGATTCTTCCATTTTTAGAAAATAATAATAAGCGTTGAATTTTTTAACGGCTTACGGAATGCGTCCAGTAATGAGGCCTTCCAGCTGCTTTAAAGGGTGTTATGCTTCAATAATGGCTCAACTCTTGCGAAAGTCGTCTTCTTGTATTCGGATTCTTATGCTCTGATTATGAGAAGTACGTATATATAAGTTTTTTGAGGCGAGCTGATGTATTATTCCGTAAAATGCCCGTGTTTGATGAAGAGACAATCCTAGGTTTTAATATGAAACCTTTTTGAAATGGGTCGCTTCCTTTTGTCTTGGTGCTGCCAGTGCGCATAAGGAAGCGTTTAATAATAAACCTCTCCTTACAAAGGCCAACGCAGGAGTTGCCATGCGTAATTAACAAAGCACAGGATTTCTCCATTAGGAAATGTTATATCACAAATTAGTTAGTACTGAAAGACCCTTCGTGCATAATCTTCATCATGACTCAGGAACAGAATTCGACTTGTGAGTGCTGCATCATTCAAACATCTTTCTCCGACTTGGTGATCACAATCCAAGACCATAATCAGCAGTACTTCATATGTTTTTGTTTCACCCAATTTGTTTGTAGGTCAGCTTCTGTCTCATTCCATGTGACCTTCTTCTAATAATAGAAATGACTGATGCTTTATAAGCTGCTATCATTGGATCTTGAAGTAGCTAATCGGGTTTACGCATGGTCACTTCACTTGCAGTCGTCCGGGCTGTTTGATACCTCTCTTTTTACTAGGTCACTTGCACCACTGGCAGTTAGGGGTAAATTTACTGGCATCAGTTTCAATTTTCTGTCATTTCATTCATGCGAATGTATAGATATCGGTAGATTAGCCTATTTAAGACTTTGAAATAGGACATTTAGAAGTTCCTGCTTATCTGTCGCTGTGTTTGACATGAGGAATCTTTCTTGCTTTGGCGGCTTCGCGCTAACGCTGCACTTTGTATGGCCTGAGTCATCGATAGTCGGGTGCACTTTTAACACCACTGCTTTCCTCCTCCGTCCCACCCCACATACAGGCCTAGCTGCGTTGGAGCCTCGTGACGAGTCGAGCACGGATGCTGACACGACTAGCCTCAAACGGTCCGCTCTGTTGGCCTTCCGTGGACGCAAAGACTCCTGTTGTGTGTCCGCCTTGCAAGGGGAGAGTCAGGACTTTTTCCAAACTGCCTGGGATCGCCACATCTCGCACCTACGCGAGGCCACCAGAGCCTCCGTTCTCGCCTCAATTGTCGACATCGGGGGCAGCGGTAACTCCTCTGCCGCACGGCCCAACTCGCGCTCCACCACGTCTCCTGCCGTGGTGGTGCCCCACTCCGTGATAGACGGAACTGCCTTTAATGATTCCTCTTGCGACTCCTACCCTGCCTCCCCCCATGCAAATTCACCCAGGCAGAAGAACGAAGGCCTGATGAGGGTCGAAGTGACCTCTCCCCGACGTCCTCTTCGCTTCTCTATGCCAACCAAATACAGCCAGACGCCAGCAGTTCTGCAAGTAGACTCGACGACTGAAAGAAAGACTGAAGAAGCATCAGACCACGGCAGGTTAAGTAAGCCTCACGATCACGAATGAATGACATCGTTCAGGAGACGCCAATGCAGCGGCTGGAAGATTGATTTTATGATTCATAAGACTGGGAGCACATTTATGCTTCAAAAGTACCTCTTCACATATATGGGTTTGACATTTTCATTCCCACTCGATTTCTACTTCATTGTTGGTTTCGATTTTACAACGATGATCGTAAAATAATCACTCTTCGGCTTTTGTAAGGTACAATCAAGGTGAAAATATCTGGTACCACTTGAAAACTACTGGGTTTTTAGTAATTGGTAAATTACCGGATGACCATTTACAAAAATCTAGCAAACTTCATTGCATTTTATAATTGGGTCTAGGGCAATATGCAGGTTCACAATTATGGATCGTTCAGAGCTAAAATTGTTGAATAGGCTAACCGGGAGTCCCGTCTATGGTGTAAACGATTAGTTTTGAGATCTGTTTGCATCATTGCAGAAGCGTTAATTAAGGAAAACTCCGAGGTTCGTGGGTTCGCCCGCAAATCTGTGAAGTGGTAGTCGTTTGTGGCCCGCGTTGTTATTTTGGGTAACAACAAAATGCACAGTGCGAAGTGTGCACGCTAGGGCCGGTGACAGGGTTAAGTAATTTTAATAACCATTACCATTTGTAGGGATGTTTTCGAATTTTAGGAGAGACCGGGTTAATCCCGGTATGAATTGTTGAATACCTTGATGGTATAGCAGCTTTACCACCATTGTATGTACTAGCAATATGAATTGCTTTTGCCTTATAAAGGAATCGGCAAAAGTGTTTCGTATTTTAATTCCGCTGAAAGTAAAAACAGAAAGCGTTTAATGATGGTAACAAAGCTGTTATACGTTCATTTACGTTTCATATAACTTCTTTCAATTCGGCAGATACATAAGCCCGATTAGCAATAATTTATTCATTGATTTAAGCCTATCTTTGGTTAAGGCTGTTAACAGACAAATTAACTTTTCATTGGTTTGGTAAACTTATTATTTAGCATCATTTATGCATGAGGCTTCTATTCTACTGCTCATTAAAGCAGAAAATTTATTCAAAAAGTTTTGTGTGTACAGCGAATTACCAAAATGGATGCATTTTTGTTGAAGTCGTGGCTTTAAGCTTTTTGTAGCCGGTTTACCTTCCCACTTCCATCGACCTCAACGCAGCGTGTACAGCCCCAATTTGTGTCTTAATCCAGCTTCAAAATAAGCTTATCTCTAAAAGTTTTATATTTAGGGCTTGTAGGCGGCGCCCTGTACGACTATTCCTGCTTTACAAAAGTCCAAACTATTTGACTATGAGGGTTTGGCACGTACTCAGCAACAGCTCACTTCCGATAACGGTTCCTCTCACACCTTACAATTGGCAAACAAAGAGTTGTGATACCCTTTCCCATGGAGCCAGGCAATCTTACGTATAGTGCTCTCAGGTGGTAACTGTTAGCCGCTGAATATCGAATCTATGACTTCAGCGGGGGCTTGGACCTAGTAAAAGAGTGCTATGCTCTAATACTCTGTAATTCCTCCCTTTTTAGGATACTACTTAGTAGCCTTTGCTTTTGCTGAGGGCTTTTTTACGAAAGCAGAAATTAGTGTGCAATTTTTTTTCGAAATAGAAACTCGCAATGATATCCTTAGCCAATGCCATAGAGCTGTAATGCTTTGATGGTTCATCAAACGCCGCCTTTGATTACGTGGGCGCTTAATTCCCCGTTGATTGCATTTCTGCTGGGCAGCCCGGCTACCAGGTCATGTTAGTAGCCACTCAGCCCTTTAGTACATCGGTACTAATTTTTATGCCATACTACTGTGACTTCTTACAACTTGAGGGAAGACTCAGGACATTGCATGTCAACATAACCTCCAGCAATAAACCTGTTTAATTAATAGTTCAGGAGACTTCTTGTGATATATTCATCTTACAAACTCACCACAACGAAAAATAAATAAGCACATGTGTTTCTAATATCGAAAAGCCTCAAAGCCAAAGCAGATATATTTTAGGGTAAAATGGTACCGATAGACATAGTCTGGTGAGTTTATCTATGCCGCCTATTCTCTGAAATAGGAATGGGAGTTGAATGTTCGTCGTTCAGTGAAGTCAATGAAAACTGACAACATTTATATTACTTCGACCAACAAAATTTGTGCAACGAGGTTGAATAAATCTACAGCCATATGACTTGTATACTATATTTGAAGCTTGGCAAATAAATTTTGAGGCTCACTGAACCGTTTATTCAACTTACTTAGGCGAAAAATTTCACCTAGATGCTCAGCTGTTTTGGGGATAGACAAACCAATGGGTCGAATGCACCGCAATTTTTAAATAGGGGACCGATTTGATGCACCAAGCAGGTTCCTGAGTAACCCCTGTACCCTTCTCCTGTTCTACGTGCTTTTCGAGTCCTTATGGTGCGCATATCTAACAGACATTGGACATAATTGTAATGCATATTTATTCAAATTTACCTTTTGGGTGAAAAATGGTCAGCCTATACCAACCTCGTGACTGAGCGGATAGCATTGACACCCGAATGGTATTTTGAGATCTGTTGGAACTTACCAAATGGGGATCTTTGCAGGTGTTCTGAATGTAAGCATTAATTGTGAAATCCTCACTTAAAACCCCTCAAGGATGAGTCAATGTCAATTAAAGATCACGTCTACGAAAACGTAAACATTGGCTGACACTACTCTACGAATGACCAGCCTAGTGTTTTTTTATTTTACAAAACGATGTAACGGGTGGGCACAAAGTGTGCGATGGCGTCAGCACCCAAACCGCCCACCACGGCCGCCCGCTTGAAGATTGCACGCTCTCAACTCGTTTTTAAATAAGATTTCACTTCACCACCGGTGATCCTACACCATTGCATTTTAAGTCCATGAGAGTCACTCCCCTATGTTGTGAAGTTATTCGTATTTGATAATTTTAACAGCCCAGATTTACATATTGCACTCGTGTCACTTTACCAAGACTGTGGAATGACCTTCCGGATGGTCATACAAACATATCCACGAGGAGACCCGATAATAGCCAGATCTACAGTAACACCCCAAGTCAACCCACTAGATTAACGGCATGCCGTTTCGTGCTAGGACGACACCGCCTCCAAATACAAGCTCCCTATGCTGAGACCCAGAACTACCCCACATTCTTCCTCAACGGCATCGAATAAATATAAACTAGAGTACCAAAGCCAAAAAACACGACGATCGTGCATTCATGCACTTATCAGGACTGCGCACTACAAACTACTGAAAAAAGCATTGAGACCGGAAGTACTACCGCAGTGTGTTTAATAGAAGGCGCTCCTATGGGAATCTTGGGGAAGGCTGTAGAGGAACAGGACACCGTGGGACATCCTAAGAACACCACTGCATGTTGCCTCCACGAGATAATGCTCTCCCTGAAATCCTAATTTATCAGTTACAAACCAAAATGACTCTTCCATTCAATCTTCTGGCCCATTATTTTCACGGAGCCAATAAAATTTCACGCTGATTTTGCATAACCGACTTGAGTTCAAAACTGCTCTGTTCAAAACCTGATCATAGGAGCATATTGAACAAAAAATCCGGATCCAACGCGCAAATGCAGAGCCAAAACCGCAAAATACAAACGAAAGACTAGGCAATCAAAGTAACTGTACCCGCACGTAACTGCCTTAAAAGCTTGTTTCAAATCAGAAACAAACCCCGTCCAAGACGTAAAATCACGAAATAAGCTGCCCACAAATAATACTACTTTTACAAATAGAGACAAAGGGCCTCAAAGCTACATTAGAACATAGAGACAAAGTATGTGATTAGGAGAGATTGTGAGCCCACTCTTCAAGTTTTTGGAAAAATAAAGTACTTGCAACGGCAACAGATGGATCATACCCAGGAGACTTTACAACATATTCAACATACATCCTGTAAACATTCTCCAGGTCTTGCAAAACAGGAGAAGATGCAGCATCAGAAGTAAGAACGATCTTTAATCCAGTGGGACCTTCAAAGTAATGAAGGCGATACTTATTCGTCTTGTAGGACAACGAATGTATGCCATTTTCCAACGGTGATAGTTTCGAACAGACAGCTTTGAGACCAATAAGCATTCCTTGAATCAACTTTGCTTCATTTTCCTTTGTGTTTGTCATTTTTAATTGCGCCCATTCCTTGTAGAGCACTTTATTCCCATATACGTCGAAAATGTACATATTAAGAAGCTTCATAATCGAGTTCGGTGTATAACAGCGAAACCACTAGTTATTTCTGAATAAGGATTTTCCTATCCAACTCAAGGTGTAGAACATAAGAAAAGCAATTACAGTAGTCGGAACGAGGAGTATGTAATAAACGTCCATTCACCGAATGACTACGAACGCCCCGTTCGCTTAGTCGCGTATAAAGTATATGGCCTAAAACAAAGCTGTTTGAGGTAAAAATTAAAGATTAACCTGCGGAATCTGCAAGCTTTTATTATCTCCCACAAAATTACTAACAAAATAAGCAATAAATAAAACTGAAACTAACTAGTAGATTACTGTTCCCTATAAGGTAGGCCTGCATGACTTTTGTAAGGCAGATTAATAATGACTATGAATAGGTATCTAAAATTGTAAATATTATGGTTATTATTGATTTTGAGCAAATAATCTATTGTTTGTTGTAATGCGCTGGAGGGATTACGGCTGGCTTCAGCTAAATTCCCCTATTCTCCCTAGTGCTCACAAAACAAACTTTCAAAAATCTTAAAGCAGACGGCTACCTATAAGTTGTTTTCAGGAAAATTTATACCACCCTCTGTTCTGTCTGATTTTTTGAAATAAATAAACTTGCAACAACGCGCAAACATTTGCTTGCTAATGCCAGTCGTTGTTACGACAACTCGTTTCCCCAAAAAGCACTTGGAATTTAGCAAGTGGCCAACAAATAGTCGTTAGGGCAGAGAACATATTGTTATTAATTCGGTAACGATTTGTCCCTGTGTTTGCTACACCATCATATTCCTCAGTTATTAATTTACCCCCTTATTAACGGGTTATTATTATTGCTTAAAAACTTCAAAATTAAAGTCCGAAGCTCATCATCCGTTGCAGTTCGTTTGTTTATACCATCTAGTAGCGTGTTATAGTGGAGGGTCAGGTCCAGAATTTCTTTTAGGGTTCTCTTTTTCGTTGCGTTCTTTTGTGTAGGTAATGTTGAGTAGGAAGCTTTCTCTGGAAGAATTTTGCGGTGATCTCTCGGTTACTTTTTGGGAGGGTCAAAGTGTAGGCCTTTGCCTGAGCGAACTAGCTTTACATATACCAATCTCATTTGTTCTTTCGATTGCCTCCTTAGTATACGTTATGAAAATATTCCCGAATCTTGCATTTGGATGGCCTTTTACGAGATGGATTGTGTTTCGCATCATTTTGGACTTGTTTGTGTTGATTAAGTCGGCTGCCTTTCTCGTAATATCTGTTTTGTCCCTTTACACGCCTGCTTCCTACTTCTCATATGTTTGTGTGGCCAATAATGCCACAACCCTTCTTTGCATGTTTTGTGTGACTATGCTTGATATGGTCCATAGCAAAGGCAATTACATACATTCACGCGGGCCTATATGCATCTTACTTGTTGAGGTGCTTTATTTTTATGTGGCATCTTTACAAATGTGGTCCGTTTTGAGTCATGGAACTTTTGGTGAAGATAGGAATTTCATGGTAAGTCTTGTTCTTGATTGTTTTTTTCTTGGCATTCGTCTTCTTACCAAGACCCCCATAATACATCCCATTGAAAATGAACGAATGAGAAGAGCTCGTTCTATCCGTCAATTGGGTTTTGGTACAATTGGCCAAGCACCAGACCGGCCAAACCTTACAGAATTTACTTTGACTCGGACAGAAACATCTGCCAGTTTTGTGGGTAAACTGCTTTTTACTTGGATTAATGAGACCATTGTCCGAGGTTACTATGGGGAACTTTTTTCCCTCAGATTTCTTCCACTTCTCCCCAAATCTTTAAGTGCCAAAACTTTGGAGGAAGTTTCCAATGTTGAACTAACAGTCTGTAAAATTAAAACGAAATTCGATGCAGCGATTCCTCTTATCAGTCGGCTTTTTGTTCATTTCGGCACGGAGTTTTTGATGCTTGGATTGATCAAATTTGCATTTAGTATGACTAGTTTATTAAGTCCAGTTTTTCTTAATAAATTCATTGGCGAGCTCGTACATGTTTCCACTGACTGGAAACCGGCATTGCTTTGGGGAGTCGCACTGATTCTTTCCCATCTGATGAATGTCTTTCTCGGAACTGCATATACGTATTGGACTCCACGTTTTGGGTTGAAAATAAAAGTGTATGTTACAACCCTTGTCTATCGGCAATTGATGAGACGTAGGTCGTCTACTTTGTCCAAATTCAGTACTGGCAACCTAGTTAATCTTCTCACATCTGATACTGAAAGAGTTGTAAACTTAACACCAAGTTTCAATGAGCTATGGGCTATGCCAGTTCAAGTAATTGTGGCAGTTTGGTTGCTCTATTGTCAAGTCGGTGTCTCCTGCTTTGTTGGTGTTGCTATCTTCATCCTCCTTCTTCCATTAAATCGAGTAATTACTAGTCTAATTGGGAGATTTTCCTCTGATTTTATGCATCACAAGGACTTACGAGTTAAGGTATGTGTAATTATGGCCCCTGTTTTATTTATTTTTGCCGATGATCTTCGTCAAGTCTTTCCGTTAGTTGGTGTCGGAGATGCTTCACGCCATGACTACCGTCAAGTTGGCTTGCTGGGAACATCTAATGCGCCGAAAAATTCTCAATGTTCGGCATTGTGAATTGAATGCGTTGAGGGGACAGAAATTGCTGGATGCGGTTTGTGTCTTCCTTTGGGCAGCTTGCCCGGCTTTGCTAGCTGGATCAACCTTTGCAACTTTTGTCGCACTAGGCAACGCTCTCTCAGCAGCAAAGGTTGGACTTCTTTGATTACGTTAAAGTATTAGATTTTCACGAGTCTTGCGCTTTTCAATATCTTCATAGTTCCAATGAATGCTTTTCCATGGGTCCTCAATGGTGTTGTCGAAGCCTGGATATCTGCCGGTAGAATATGTCGGCTTTTTGAGACTGACGATTTGACTGTGTGTTCGATTAATCCGGCATTTAACGCCGACGATAATCCAAGAGAACAATCTCAGATACAGGGAAATTCTGAACTCGTACTAAAATCTCCTCTATTTTATTGGGAATCTGTTGATAACCCGGCGCTTACTGACTTAAATGTAACAATATCGATGGTAAGTTGAGCCAATATCTTTCTACCTAAAATAAACACTTTTAGGGTCAACTTATTGGTGTCATCGGACCCATAGCGTCAGGAAAGTCGTCTTTCCTCCTTGCTCTCATGGGTGAACTGCAAACACCTGTACCTCAGTTCATGTCGGCCCAACTTCGTTTTGCCTATGTCGGATTCACCCCTTGGCTTCAAAAGGGTAGTATTCTGGCGAATATATTATTCGGGGAACCGCTTGAGTCCAAGTGGTTAGCTGCTGTTGTTGATGCTTGTGGATTGTCGGAGGATCTGGCTGAAATGCCCGAAGGTATGGACACCGAGGTTGGCGAGGCTGGCAGTCGGCTCTCTGGAGGTCAGAAGGCTCGAGTGGCTCTAGCCAGGGCTGTCTACCAGCGCGCCGACGTTTACCTCTTTGATGATCCTTTGGCTTCCCTGGACACTCACGTGGCTCACAGCATCATACAGAAATGCATCGGTCAACGCGGAATTCTAGCAGGCAAGACGCGAATCTTTGCAACGCATAGATCTGAGTGGCTATTCAACGAGGTGGTTTTGTTTAAAATTTTCTAAACACTAGTTTTTTAGGAGGATATGAGTCTTGGTGGCCCTGCTGACCGAGTCATTACATTGTCCGAAGGTCGAATTGTGCAGCAATGGACTTCACAAAATCGAGCTGTTCAATCAATTAGCAATGAACCGGCTTATTTTATTTCAAATGGGGAAGTCAGTTCTACTCCCGACTCCAGTTTTGAGGGCATACTTGAAGATAGAAACGAGCAGACACCTTTATTGCCTTTCTCACCTGAAGAAGATAACGACCGAGCATTTGATTCAGCTGAAGACGAGGTATCAACAGATTGGGAAAAGTTCGCTTTCGGCTCAATTGCGTCTCGAGTCTATCGATCATATGTCCGTGCATTGGGTTTCTGTCTTGCCTCATGGGTGCTGATTTCTCTCACTTTGATGCAAGGTACGAAGCTTTGCTCAATGAGCTTTCACTGTTTTTGTCCCTCTAATAAGAATGAAAACTTGATGGATTGGGTGTCGTTTTCTTTTTTACAGCCAGTCGAAATGGTCAGGACTATTGGTTGTCTTACTGGATGCAGGAAGGCGAGATGAATATCACCTCTCCATCAGTGTACTACATTGGCACTCACTCTTTTCTTTTCGATCAGTCTTATGATCACCCGTTTGCAAATGTACCAGCTGCGAACTCAAATAAGTTCTACTTCTCTGTTTACGGCGGCATAATTGGAGCCAACCTTATCTTTACAATGCTTCGAGCAGTTCTCTTCGCCCTTGCTGGTCTTCAAGCTGCAGCCACTATCCATCAACATATGCTGGATGCTGTTCTTCAGGTTTGCACAGGCACTCTTTAAATAGTTTTCTACCGATCGAAGCTTTTTCAGACTACCTCAAGAACTTACGTATTCGAGCCCACTATTACAGGGAATGAAATAATATTGGCGCATTTAAATAAATGGGTATAATATTAGTGATGCTAGTTGTAGACACGCAAACACTTGGGAAAGTGAAGCGAATTTAGCCACATTTAAGACAAAACTTTGTCCTAAACCATTTCGGCAAATATAACGAGTTGTGATTTTGATAAACGCAAACATTAACGATACTTGAATCAGCTTTGCCCAGTGCATTTTGCAGTGGCATTAAATGTGTCCTCACTCTTAATTCGTGTTGGGTTTTGCATCAGCACATTGAACAGACTGTAATGCATGTCATTGTTAGGTCACATTACCGTGTCAACATTTCTTGTTTGAAGCCTCCTCAAATAAATGATTGCCTTGTTTAAACGGCAGCAGCATGCTGGCTTATAAATTCCGGCGTAAATTTGGCCTAAATGCGCCGATTATACAATAAGTCATGCCAAGAAGATTATCAACATACAGTTTTGTGATCCGATTATTTGTGCGCTTTGCACAAATATCTTCGCGAATAAGATTCAAGTTTGATTATCGTGGTATAGTAAAGTTTCCTTCAACAAATAACAATCTTCTTCAATGATAAATTACAACACTTGCCCATAGTTCCTATAGCCTTTACACAAATATTGTCATTTTAGGGCGAAATGCATTTCTTCGAAGTCACTCCGCTGGGCCGTATTCTCAACAGATTCTCCTCAGATGTGGGCACTATTGATGACAGTTTACCCTTCCTTCTAAATATCTTTTTGGCCATATTGTTTTCCCTCCTGGGTTCTCTTGTCGTCACCTGCTTTGCTATGCCGGGCATTCTCGTCATTTGTTTGCCTCTTCTCTTTGTCTACTGGTCTGTGCAACGTGTCTACAGGACCGCTGCACGGGATCTCAAACGACTCTCCAGGTTATTCACTTTCTTCATTTGGGGCCTTCTTGCACAACTAGTAGGATAAGTTTCGGTTTACCCCTTTCATGTATGATGTAATAAGCTTTCCACTTTCTGGTAGATTTGAAAGTATTTGTTTCCCAGGAATTCTTAGTCTTTAATCCACATAACCTTTCGCAGTTGGCAATATTGATGAATGTTTGATGCGTATGTCAAAAACAAATTATAAAGTAGGGATTAACCTATCTATAATTTGGCTCTTTTACGATTGATGAAACGTAATGCCGCATTTGGGAAATTGTAACGTTCAAGTACTGAGAAGCAAAATTAAAGACTTGATACACTGCACACGGCAGCACAGCCAGATCGCCGGTGTACGCACACTTCTCAGAAACGATTGGAGGTCTGGTCGTAATCCGGGGTCTGCGCAAGGAGGTTGCATTCCAGGCAGCCGCGGGTGCGCGGCTTAACGCACAGACGCGCTGTGAATTGACCACTCTCGCAGCCGCTGCGTGGCTCAACCTCCGCCTCCAGCTGATCGCTCTTCTCGTCGTCGTCTGTGTCGTCCTCATCTCTCTCTTTGGCCGAGCTGTCGGACTCCTGGATGTGCGTCCCGCTCCCACCACCTTTCCTTTTTTTCCATTGGCCACAAATCTAGCACGTACTTTACTTCATTTGCGGCAGTGATAACGTTGGATTTAGTCTTCATAATTTCGCAGACTCGTGTACATTCCACGTGTCTGATTCACTCTTCGTTTATTATGTAGTCGACTGAAATATTCAATGTAAATATCAAAAATAGCGTAATAGCCCACCTCTTATTGACAGTTTGTCTGAGATTCTTGAAGTGATAGTTTGGAGGCGTCGTTAATAATTATCTTCCTATTAGCCACCAAATACTAAACTGACTAGAAATTCATAATGTATCGTTTTCACTCAAATAAATACTCATATTTTCATTGACCTGCATCAAAGTATGTCAGTACGGATGTACATTAATGTTTCAGGTGAGTCTAGCCGGATTGGCAGTGATTTACGCCCTGATGCTCGCTAGCTCGATGACCGCGTTGGTGACTATGATGAGCGATACAGAGAAGGACTTTGTCGCAGTCGAACGGTGTCGAGAGTTGACGGAAGAGACGCCTTTTGAAGCTGATATTGTCGCCTGCTCTGCTGTGGTGAGCAAGGCGACGTTCTTCGTAGCTCCCTCTCACTATCATGCACTAAATTCTGCCATTTTCTCATTCTGTTAGCCCTAAGCATGCGTAGGTCCCACTTTAAGTGCACCCTCAATAATCGTCTTTTGTATGAATCCCCTTGTGTGCTTCTATAGGTTTAATTGAGTTCCTTTTTGCAGTGTTTTTTTCATTTGGAAAGACAGACCTTTTGAAACCTATTTAACTTCAAGTTGGATTTCTCTAGGCGTTGTTGACATCTACGTTATTTCTAATGAATGCCTGCTTTTCGGTAGCTTTGATAGCAAAGATTCAAGCATTTAAACAGCATGAATGCTTACCATAAATCACGTAACCATTTGGACGGTCTGAACCTGTGCATACTTTTTCGCCCTCCTATGACTGCCTCACATACCGTAAACAACTGATTCCACTGTCATCTAACGTAGTTAATTCACACGTGAAATTAACCTCTACTTAGCAGTCGTTCCCAGTTCCCAGATTTTGCAACAATAAACCAAATCCATTCTAATTTGGGGTGACTTTTGGTTGCTATTACTGGATCAGCTCACATGAGTAGTAGAATAGCTGTAGATATTTTTACATTTTCAGCAAAAAGATATTCACTTGTAATTTTTTACTCTTGAATCGATATTACTTGTATTGATCAAATGTCTTATTTGATTTACACTAAAACTGTGGTTAATCCATGCACGTTATACATTGGACTTGATTAGTACCAATGTTTTGCGTGAACACACCACTTAAACATTTTCATTTAATTGCCCGTGATGTGGTACCATCTACAAAACATCCTCATCTCTCCTATGTTCCCATGATTTGAAATGAGAATACTTTATTCAACTGCTACGTTTTCCACCTGTTAAGCCTTTCTGCATCATTAAGGCCCCAAGACGCCGTCAGTCGCTAAGTCAAACGCGCTTTGTACAAACCGAGTTGCCCACCTGTTCCCAAGTTGATGTTGCGTGGCCAAAAGCGGGTCGCATTTCATTCGAAGATGTCTATCTCTTGTATCCCTCTGCGACCACATCGACCGAGCAAGCTGCAGCAGTTGTGGAGGAGAATGCAAAGGAGAACTTTGCGCTGAGTGGCGTTTCCCTTAAAGTAGAGACGGGCGAGCATATCGGTGTGGTTGGTCGGACGGGTTCGGGTAAGTCCTCTCTCCTGCGCGTCCTCTTTCGTCTCGTGCCCCACCTCGAGGGACCTGTTACGAACCCACAGATTGCCCGCCTCAAAAACTTCCGTGGCGCTACTGGCACGGTCAGTATCCTCATTATCTCCTCATTCATCCCTTTCTCGCTTTTACTTTTACCTCAACCCACTCACTAATAGGTCAACGAGCTCAAAATGTAGCATAAAACGGCGCCTGAAATTTTGTTTAGTTAAAACGCGTGATTTGGGTCAGTGACCATATTAAAAATGAGGATTGGAGACAAAAATCTGGATTTTAAACTTAAGAATTGCCAAGTAATGCAGCTTGAAGATAAGGTGATTCAAAAGACGGCGGCTTGCATCTCTTTCAAGGAAAGGAAGGATATTGAAGAGAAAATTTGTTCCTCAAATACTTTTTTTGGAGTACGAATTATACATCAACATCTTTCGTCACTGAGATTATGAATGTCTCGTATGACTTATCGGTTTTATGGAGAATGGCCAGGTTGCACTCAATCTAAGTTTTAGAATTTAACTACAAAACCTAAACAAGTTAGCAAAAAACTCACTTTCGAACAGAATTAGCATCTACTCGAAACCCTAAATCATTGGCCATGTTTATGTAAACTAAACTGCATTTTAAAACATCAGGTGAAAGTTGATGATGTAGATGTGCGCCAAGTGCCACTGAACATTCTGCGCTCAAGAATGCTGTGTGTTTCGCAGGATCCTTTCTTGTTTTCCGGCACTGTTCGCGAAAATCTTGATCCTGATGGGTGAGCGTTTTTTGGATTTGTAATTCATTGTGATTTTCACTCATTATGCCCAGCATTAGCACAAAAGTAGTAGAAGACACTGATACGAGTTCCATTTTGAAAGGTTCGGCAGGTGTTGTTCAACTAGTGCTTGGTCAAGCATTTCAACTTTATCATCAACTTTATCCCTGTAAATCGCATACAACGTTTTGCTGGTTGTAAGGTTGGCTGTGTACTAACAATATGTGAGTAGGCACTTTTCAAAATTCTAGTTCCTACTCAGATGGCCAGTTGACGGACATACTGATCAGATGTGGTTTGGTGAACGAAGAGAGCGGAGCCTTAGCATTTCTATCTAGTGAAGTAGGTGAGGCGGGTCGGAGCCTATCAGCAGGACAGCGGCAACTGCTTTGCCTTGCTCGAGCCCTCTTCCGTCTTAGTCCTGCTCGGCACAGTGTCATCTGCCTTGATGAGGCCACTTCATCTCTCGATGACGCTTGCGAGAGGAAGATTCAGGTAACCTTGTGCTTTGCAGTCCCTTTTGAAATCAAAGCATATCTCTCGTCCTACTTATACGACGTAGGACATTCCTTGCACGAGTCAATTGCAGGTAAAAAGATAAGGCTTGTCACTGCCTTGTCACACCTCAACCGGTATTCATAGTTTTAATTTCAACATGATGTACTGCTTTTGGCTAAAAATAGAGAAAAGTAGGAATTTTTTAGTGAACCTTTACTTTTTGTAAACTTTAGGATATGTTGGTCAATGAGTTTGCAAATTCGACCGTCTTACTAGTAGCACATCGCCTCTCCACGGTGCTGAGCTGTTGCTCCCGCGTGGTGGTGATGAACTTTGGCCGCATCGTTGAGGAGGGCTCACCGCAGCACTTGGCCCAGATTCCCACCTCGTACTTTTACAAAATGCTCCACAACTATGACTCCCCTTCCTAATCCGCCTTTGCTTGCCTTACCCTGCTAGGCCCCCATCCAACTTGTCGTTTCATTTGACGTGATTTTTGAATGCCTCTGGTGTTGTTGCCACCACTTTGTCCCATTTTAGCACTTTAAGGCTTCTATTAATTGTGATCTGGCAAAAATAATGAATTGCTGGTGATTCTGATTTAAGGCCATTTGAAGTGTGTTCCACCATCGTGTCAGCAGATGGCGGGTAAAAACTATCATCTGCGTCAATGTATGGAAAACGGAAAGACTGCAAAACGACTTTATGATCCTAACCGCTTTTACCAGAACTGGAGCTCCATCTCCTCGCTTTGCATTAACATATGGATGACACGTACTTTCTAAAAATCTAGGTGGCAAAACATTCTCTGATGATTCCGCATGCCATTTTGTTTAGATTTTAGAAATGGTATTTATTAATGAGCATTTCAAAAATGGGCGTAATCTGTGATGCTGTAATCCCCACTTATTCCCCGTTTTTTGGCTAATTGGCGGGAATATCTTCGTTAATTTTCAAAATTGACTTTTTTGTAACTTAGGTTAAGGCAGCCTGCAATTCTGTCTTGACATCGTTTAATCGCTTGTCATCTGCATTACACTAGATTTGGGATGAACGCCGGTAGAATTTTCACTGTAGATGTTGTGCTTTGTGGTGTAAGTGTTAGCAAAACTCCCCTTAGGTACAAACTCGTACACTGCAATCCTCACAGTAACTACAAAAATGTCCTAGAAATCAAGTTAAGTCAAGATAAATAAGCAAAAAGTAGGAAGAGACGGGTGCTTTTCTCCAGACACCATTTAAAATAGTCTTTGGAACGCAAAGCTTAATAATTTATTGTAAATAAAAACCAAAGTTGTTCTACTCAGTTTTCGGTAGAATAACTGCTTGAGGTGTGGTTGGAATCACATCAAGCTGGTGCCCCTATGGGGATTCGAATGCTTGGATGTCAGCTTTTTATCCAAGGCATTTGCAAACTGTCTTCTCGAGAGGTATGCATGGCTCGGTTGCCATGACAGCCGTCTGTCGCCAAGATACTTATCTCCTCCATGTAAGCGTAATGTTGAGTTTAGTATCAGTGCTTTCGATTCTGTCTGGCATTGGTGATAGGACGGCGATTCCCTTCAATCAGTGTTATATTCAGCTGCCTACCCTTGGCTTTTTGTGTACAAGGCAATGGGGATTCCGCTTTAAATGTGCAAGTTTAAATTCAAATACCAAAATGCCAACGAAATGTCATTCTATTCCACAGTGGACAGCGTCAGAGATGCCTGGTAATTAGGGAAATTTTATTTTATGCCAGGTGGTGTTTAATATCACCAGTAAATGGTACGATTAATCTACTTGAGGCAAGCTTACCAAGTGTAGTTATTTTTGAGCACTCAAGTAGTTGCGATGGTGTCTAAACAAGCGCGATAAAGGTAATCATCATTTAGTATTTTGGTGGAGGACCATTGTTTGCTTCACTGTAAATTAAGTGATAAAATTTTAAATTTGGATGGAGTGGCCTCGGACAAAGAAGCTAAATTAAGCCAGATACTACGACTTTAAGCAAGGGAACTCGGCGTGTAGTTGTCAACGTGCGATCGTGTTTCAATGGGTTTTGTCATTAATTTTGAGCATGCATACAATAATGCTATTTCACTACGCTGAGGAAGTAATTTTATTGAGTATCTAGAAGAGAGCAAGGTTTTAAGAATTCATGGCAAATAGGCGCATCAGCCCAGAAAGGAAAGATATCTTCTAGTAAAATCCGATGAACTTTTAAGCAGCTAATATCTATTTGGGTTTAGTAACTCATAACAAAGTAAAAGAACGTACGCGTTCATTAGAGCACTGACGACTGTCAATAAAACCTATTCTCAAAAGTTGTGAGCTAGCTTGGAATTAAAAAGTGTTGCGTCAGATGCATGCGAAAATTGCCTAATAGTTGTAATATTTTTGTTGGAATTTTCAGCACTTTATCGCGATGTATTATATGTACTAGGCTATAGGGCTACTTGACGGACTTAACAAAGGACTGCATTAGTCTTTGCATAACAAAAGAGAGTTGTGTCTTTGCATAAGTGATGGCCGCTGTGCATCACGAAGGGTCAGCGCTGAGACTACTGCATTTCAGAGGCAACTATTTGGTCTGCTATACACCTGCAAGAAGTTGCTTACGCGTGCGGCAGATGGATGAGCATAAATAATGCGAGAGTGTGATTCGCCTCAACTCTGGTTGGAGGGCCTGGGACAGCTCCACGAGGGTAGAGCACGGGGCAGGTTTTATTCATCGACCCGTGCTTTACTAGTCTGCGCACGTTGCCGCTTCAGCTGCTGCTGCTGCTGGAGTACTGCGTCAGGCATGAAAGTGGCAACATGAGAGGGCAGGACGTGCGTAGTCTCGGGAAGAGCAGTAACACAGCATAGAGGGCACCATTTCGAATGGTATTATAACCACAACATTTCATGCATTTAGAAAAAATTTTAACATGATTTAAAATAGTGTAAAGAGAAGTTTAGTCCAGGGAACGTGTCCACTGGATGCTGAAGTATACCATTTCGTTGCTCTACTGAACGATTTTAGTTTAGTTATCAAATCAGGCATTGGTAACATGATTGAGGCACCCAAAGTGGTTCTAATTTCCATTACCTGGAACCACATGTAATAATGCCTGTACCGACCGATGCTAATTGTATTTGAGCAACTTTACATCGCGCTTTTCATCTGTCTCTTGAATATGCAGGGAGCAAAAATAGTACGAAGGACACACCTAGTTAACGAAGCTCGTTTCGATGTTGGGGAGCCAAAAAAAACTCCTAATGATATATTACTGAGTAAAAAAACAAAAACATCGAAATCGTGCCATCAGCTAATACATATATCAGCTAAGTAAATAACTTTAATGAATTTACACAAGCTAATGATTATGAAAGCAAGTGGTTCGCAATCATTGACAATAATAGCCAAATCAGGAAATTAAGGCGATATGGCACTTTACCAATATGAATGCCTTCTGATGATAGCAGATAATAATTGTGAATGGATGATAGTTTGTGAATTTTAATTCCTGCATTTTGAAATAGCCTTTAAAAAAATCTTGAATTTAAAGTCAGTGGTGTCGTTGCATTAGCATATGACAGAAAAAGTAGGCAACTTACTTTCTTTGCTAGAATTCAAGTAGATTGCTTGTTTTTAGTAAACTAAGCTTTATCAAGTGCCTATATATTGCATAATTTGGAATTTAAAACCGAAAATTGACTGCATTCGCTTTTGGTAAATGTAACTAACTAATTCAAGAATCGTGTTAATGGACGCTTATGGTGACGTTGAAACCTTACAAAACAAACCACAGTAACGTGACACATATAATGACATCAAAATTTCAAAGCAGGGCGATCAAATTGCAGGTACTCATGAGAATGAAATTGGCATTCTTAGTCGCTTCACTTCTCTCGACTACATCCTCCGAGTAATGATCAATTACTATCAATTACCAACTTATTGTAGAAGGAACTAATTCTAAGGGCATTTAGTGAAATACTGTACCAAATTCGTTGGCACATTTCCTTTGCTGTGATCGCGTTACTAAAGGTCTTACTAATTTAGTAAACATCACAAATTAAAGATTAAAAATTTTGTTAGGTAAGACCCGATTTGGTTTTAAAGGGTAATCTTTCCCAGTGTATGAAACGTGTGTAAAGTTATAAAAATTGCCCATTTTCTTCGATGACTGCTATAGCCCCAAGAACAAAACCCCAATGTCTTTAGTGAAATTTCCGCTTTAATTTATTAAATTGGCGACGCAAAACTTATTATTAAATAATTTATTATTTTCTTTAAGTGCATAGTATGTTATTACGAGTAATTCATGAAACGTGAAGTGGTTATTTTGAATCTGACTTGCCATAAAATGCAAGACTTGATTTGGCTCGCATTAAAATCACAATTGCATGGAAGAGTACTGCGACATAAACTACTGACCATTCTCATTAATATGCACCGGAATTTGCAGTCGAAGGAAGTAAAATTCGGGGAATAGGCGAAGTTAAAATTGTTTAGAAATAATGTAACTCACTTCACCTAACTGCATTAGGAGTAAATGTTTTCCTCAAGATACACTTTGGCCTTCAAATCAGGAAGACGAAGGCAACAGCAGAATCTAGTGCTGGCGTGTAAAGGTGGTATTTTGATGGAAAAGGGTTTAAGTTTAATTCATTATGTCTTTGTTATGATGCACTGATTCTGCCGAACGCTTTGTTTGGGAGATTTAAACTGCAAATGTATCACATTACGAAAGTTCTTCATTAAAACGCATTGAATAAAAAAATTTCAATGCGATTTGAAGACTTGCACAAACATGCCCGTGAATGCGGTAAGTTATTCTGTGTGAGGTTTTTGGCCTCACACTTACCTGTCTCATGAAAAAACGTCGAAGTGAGAGCTCCCATTGTTATAATATTAAAATACACCAAAAAATATAAAGATCCTTTCAGAATTCATGTAAATGTATCAGAATACAGAAGTATCTTCAAAAAATAGCCCAAATCACATTCAGGAGATTGACGATTGCAATATCAAAAGTTTCGTTGCCGTGGCAAGGGCGATCCTCAAGTGGCAGTATGCACTTCGAACGCATGCATATTTGTTGACTATTTCAATTAAAATGCGTTCTTGAATAAAGTCGCTCCTTTTCTTATCAGAAAAATTGGGATCATATACAGGTGCACATTTGAAGTAGAATGCGTGATAGTTACATGTTCATTCAAAAATATTCAACAAGTTATTATGTTATGATGTTTTGACAGCATGCAGCATGGTTTGTTTAATGATCTGGTTAAATCAAAAATTCAAAACTAAATTAATTTGCGTAATTAGACATTTGTGCATTGTCTCATTCATCTAAGTGATACCATTTACTCAATTGCATCAGTTTCTTACTGTCTAGACGGCAAAATCACCGATACAAATATTGGGTCGAATTACAAGTGTAGGTATAGCAGTATCGCA